TCCCTAATCCACTTCGGCTGGTTTCTTATTATGTTTTAGCAACAGAAACCAGACTTTTTTAGTTATATCATAGTTTTATTCATTGTTGTTCTAATAGCTGTTCTACACTTTGTTTCAAAGCTCTTTATAAATAAAGTTAGGTTTTTTTTTGACAGCATCATTAAATATCCTGGTGCTAGGTTTGATAAGGGGAAGTTTATGTAAAGCGTAATCATTTAGAGAGATTAAAACTTTGTTTTATTGATGTTCAAAGATCAGCTAGAGCTTAATTAGTCTGTAAAGACTAGATAAAGATAAAGATTAGTCGGATTTTGTTCCTTTATTTGGACCAGGTGTCCCTGTGAACCTGTCCAGGTGTGGCCCTTTGTGTTTATGTGACTAATTCATCCATGAGGGTGATTCAGACTCCGCTGTTCACGGCTGAAATATTTGAATAAATACCCCAATAAATAAAAAAACACTTTAAAAATACATTTACAATGATGGACTAAATCATTACATTTCATTTAAAAAATAAACCCGTTTCAAAATTCCTACAAAAATGTAGCTTTATATGTGTAAATGAATTTAGAGTGAAGCATTTATGTGTGTTTTTAGGCTGAAATGGTCGGGAACTTTTAAGGCTTTGAACTTTCCTATAAAACAGTGAACTCCAAACTTTTTGAGACATTTTTTAAAGTTTTCTTTTTTTTTCCTTTTATTTAGTCAAAAACAGAAATTTATTCAGTGTGAATTATTTTTATTTCTCAAACCTATTACAGTAAATGTCTTTTTAGTTTTCTTACTGGTTTATTTAGCCATGGTGTAGTGCTGCAAGTGGCCTCCAGGGGCGCTAGACCTGTAACTTCTCCAGTGGCCAAGCGTTTAACAGTGTTGTGCTGTAATAAACTCTGAAGATTAAATGAAAATGTTTGTTTCTCTGCAGCCTCGCTCTTCATCCTGACAAAGTTCGCGTAGCATCTGGTCAGACGGCGGGCGTGGATAAAGACGGAAAGGTAAATACTTTAAACAAGATTTCCCTGAATGAACGGAACATGGGCCATCAAAGAGCGGGATGTACACAGGAACGCCGAGGCGTTTGATTGGTGTATCCAGGGAGTTCAGGTTTAAGAATTTAATCTAAACTTGACTGGAATTACAAACTGATTCCTCTCCAAGAGATTCTGACAAACCAGCCTGTCCAGATTTACTGGTAGGAACCTTTTTCCCCTCATAGCTTCACTCTGCTCCTGATTCCAGCCACCATATGGATGGATTAATATCTTAGAGTTTTAATCTCCATAACCAGATTCTCATTTAATTTAATTTCGATTCAGTTTATTTTTATAGCGCAAACTCACATTCCATGCTATCTCAGGTTTACAGGGACAATTCAACAAGAAACATCCAGTCAGATTGATTCAAAGTTTTCTATCTAAGGAAAACCAGCTGATTGCATCGACTCATTGACTCTTCAGCAATCCCTCACACTAAGCATGCTTGTAGCGACAGTGGAGAGGAAAAACTCCCTTTGAACAGGAAGACCTCTACTGTAAGGTCTGACAGCTGAAACCCCGAAAGATCAGGAGCAAACTCAGCATCATGAACAGAAACAAGAAAGAAA